GCCTGTAATGCAGGAGGCTTGGATTCACTCCCTGGGTCAGGAAGATCCCCTGCAGAAGGGAATGGCTACCCACTCCAATATTCTTGCCTGGAGAATTCCATGAACAGAGGAGCCTAGTGGGCTACAGTCTATGTGTTCAAAAAAGAGTCAGACATGACTGAGCAACTAACACTTTCACTTTCAAGGGTTTGTTTAAGGCATTCAGCAAAGATCTTCCAAGTTTACCAGTTCATTCCAGAGCAAAATCATTATTTTTTAATCTTTATTGGTCTTGAATGTTAGTTTCCATTTTTTACTAGCTTGTATGGCTCAGGTGGCTCAGTGGTAAAGAAACCGCCTGCCGACACAGGAGCAACAGGAAATGAGGGTTTGATCCCTGTTTGGGAAGATACCCTGGTGTAGGAAATGGTAACCCACTTTAATATTCTTGCCTGGAAATTTCTATGGAGAGAGAAGCCTGGTGGGGTACAGTCCATGGGGTTGCAAAGAGTCAGGCAAGAGTGAGTGAGCACACACATACACATACACACACACATACTCACACGTGCACACATGACTCAGGTCACCCTATTGGTTTCCTTTAGTAAGTTCAATTAAGAGTTGTTGAGTGTAGATTTATATGCCTTGTCTTATAGTACCACACAGGAGAAGCATTACCAGTGAAACATGCTTATTCCACAATATAATTAAACAAAAGAGATGTAACCTTTTTATAATGCCCATTTAAATATGCCAATTGTATATACTTTCATCTCAAGTCTGTCAACTTTTTGCCTTTAATATTAGAGTGTGGACTTAAAAAAATGCACAATGTGATAGTTGCTAGTTAAGTTTTATCTAGGGACAAAATGAGGACTGCAATCCAGGAGACAGCACCTCAGATATCTCTGAGAGACTGCTCCATAGAGGCAGTTGGGGAAGATCAAAATATAAGATTTTGGTGAAGGGGGAGTTCAGTGCGACCAACTGCTTACTTTACAGAAGGTTTTCTACTAGTCAGGAGGAGCTGATGTTACCACAGAGGGATTCAGTGCTTTTCTAGATATAAAGAAGATGCAAAGATTGGGATCATGAAATCAGTTCCTGAGAATATTTAACTATCTAAAGACCTGTCCCACCAGATTCCCTGGAGCACAGAGTGCCTCACTGCACCCTAAACTCCCTCAGTGGGTGTTGAAGGTCAATAGCTGCAACAACACAGGGTTCAAAGTCAGCAGAGGCAGGTGGCAAATCCCTTCTTGTTTTCACTGGCAAATGCTTTTGGCAAGTGCCAATTTGTAGTTGACAAGCCTTTGGGTGCAGGAGAATTGAGAAGGAATAATAAAGACAGAATTCACTTGCCTTGTAACCTGGTCTCTTAGGAACAGAGAAATTTTCCTTTCTGTCCAGACCCCTGTCCCCTAGGGAAATCAGGTACAGAGTATGGGTGTTACAACTGAAAAATGCCTAATAGAAGCTAAGTGAACTATAAAGTGTCTCTGCTGCAGTCCCCTCAGCCTGAGAAATCTTGGATGACATAGAACATGTTTCTGTTGGAGACCTGAGTCTGACTGTAAAACAGTCCTTCTCTCCCTCCAGCTGTCTTGTGGGGACAGAGCTTCAATTACCAATATCAACCTTCCAGGAGGCATTTGAACTTCCACACAAAGACTTTTCTCTCAGTTCCCATCCAGGTGAGTCTGAGAGCCCAGTAGATGCTGTGGGAGAATTAGAGAGAATGCAAGCCTAGAACATTCATCTGAGGTCAACTGTGAGCCAATCCAACCTAGCTCAGATACCAGAGGTTAGTGTGATAGTTTGCTACCCTGATTCATAAATAAATGTATTTAGTTAGGACTAAAGGAAAAGCAAAGTTTGACCTCAGTAACATAAGGCTCAGTGTTGCCAATGAAATGATACTAATTAAAGTCCAATTAGAAGAAGGAATGGGATGCATAAAGCACATTCAGTAAAATTTGAACATAAGCCTAATGATTCTAGGAACATTATATATTATATCATTTCATGTCTACACATTTCCCAATTTAATTTCCAATCTATGTGATTTCATTAAACAGTTACCATTTAAATATAATTTTCAGTTAGTTTTTGATGCTCTATTTGATTTCTTAAAAAAAATACGGTTGACTCATTGCTATTGTATTTAAGCCAGACCCATTTTCATTGCCATTCTTTTTATTTTGTAACTTCATTTGTACTTAAATATGATCCTATACAAGTGCACATGTATTCACATACCTTTTCGAAATGTGATAGTGAACAAAGCAGCTGAAAGAAGTCTCAGATGATTAGGATTTTGCATTATAATGGCAAAGTCACAGTATAATGAAGTAAATGATGTCATACATAATGTCCTCAGGCATAAATCATATGAAGAAATTTATCCAGGGTGAATGGGTGAACTGTTATGGAGTCTGTAGAAATTGTAGAGTGTGGTCTGGAAAGCCCTTTGCATGTTAATTGATGAGAACTGGGATATGCCCACCAAATTTACTTAAGGAGTAAGATAAAGCCAAAAGTTCAAGAAAAACAAACACAAGATGCCCCACAAGAAAACTGAGACAGGGCTTACCTCCTTCTGTGTGTGTGTGTGCTGTGTGCTAAGTCACTTCAGTTGTGTCCAACTCTATGCGACCCTATGGACTGAAGCCCACTAGGCTTCTCTGTCCATGGGATTCTCCAGGCAAGAATACTGGAGTGGGTTACTGTGCCCTCTTCCAGGGGATCTTTCCAACCCAGGGATTGAACCTGCATCACTTAGGTCTAACCTGCACTGGGAGGTGGGTTCTTTACCACTAGTGCCACCGAGGAAGCTCACTTCTTTCTCTATGGGATGGAAAAAAAAAAAAATTGTTCAAATAAGTGAGTCAGGCTCAAGAAAAACAGGTCTTCTACTGCTTCATATAAAGCATACCCACCTTTGGTTGCAGTTTGTATGGTTCATTTTGTGAATTGTTTTATGCACTTTGCTCGTTTTTCTTTTGGGTTGTTCAATCTGTTAGGTGTCTTGTGCCATAAATGTATCGCTGTTTCTATCAAAGTCATAAAGGTATTTTTTCTTTTTTAAATTATCTTTTCTGGGCATCAAGGAGATATAACTGGAGTTGGAATGTTGCCAAAGCAAGGAAGTTTTAATTCATCACATTGTCTGAAGGGGCCATTCAGGCTTAATATATAATTTCCCCCTAAGGCCCATATGTCCATTCTTCTCTCTCTTTCTCTCTCTGTCTCTCTCAGACTTTTAAAAATATTTCTTTAAATATAGGGCAGAAAGTGGCCATACCAAGAAGGAACCCCAAGTCTATTGGTCCATGGGAAGCTTGTGAACTGAAATTTCTGGGTAGCATTTATATATTCCTTGCTACTGCTAAGTCACTTCAGTCGTGTCTGACTCTGTGTGACCCCATCTCTGGGATTCTCCAGGCAAGAACACTGGAGTGGGTTGCCATTTCCTTCTCCAATGCATAAAAGTGAAAAGTGAAAGTGAAGTCGCTCAGTCATGTCCGACTCTTAGCGACCCCATGGACTGCAGCCTACCAGGCTCCTCCATCCATGGGATTTTGCAGGCAAGAGTACTGGAGTGGGGTGCCATTGTCTTCTCCGATATATTCCTTAAATGAAAGATAATCTGATCTGACCAGTTCGACTTGTACCCACTCAAGGCCTAAAGAAGGTGGTTCTAGGTAAGAAATGCATAGTAGTGACACAGCTCACAAGGACGTGGTGTGTGTGTCTGTGACTGCGGTGAGAGCAGTTCTTTAAGCAAAGGAAGTGAAGTGAAAGTGTTAATCACTCAGTTGTGTCTGACTCTTTGTGACCCCATGGACTGTAGCCCGCCAAACTCCTCTGTCCATGGAATTCTACAGGCAAGAATACTGGAGTGGATTGCCATTCCCTTCTCCAGGGGAATCTTCCCCATCCAGAGTTTGAACCTGGGTCTCCTGCATGGCAGCCAGATTCTTTACTGTCTGACCCTCTAGGGAAATGGCCTCCTATATTAAGGTGACATAATACAGAGACCAGGATTTAGTCAAAAGATGGAACTAAGAAGAGGATATCATATGTTTACAATTCACAGAATGCCATTGCAACTAAATTCATAAAGTACAAGGAATCACATGAAAGGAGGGATTCTGTGTGGACTGAAGTGTTGGCTGTCACAGGGAGGCCACCTTGTTCCTCAGCATCCCTGACACCATCTCTAGTCACTCCCCTTCTTGCTTATCCCTCTGCCCCACGGCTTTCCTTATTTGGATTTGAACAGGTGGCACCAGCATCTTTATAAGGTCCTTAGCAGTGGCAGCACTCTCTACCAGGCACACACTTCTCCTAACATCACACTAATTCCTTCTGTCTCTTTTTTGAGGAATCAGTTCAATTATCAACTTGTTTGCAGGTCTTACTTGAACACTCAGTACAAAATAACATTTATACTTATTTTTTTTCATAGTATCTGTCATCTCCTGCTATATTATATTTTATATTTATTTGAATATAATCTTTAACCACCCTTTGATTGTGGAAGTTTTGTTTATCAATACAGTTCCCTATATGTGCTCGGAGCATGATTGGTTCTCAGTAAGAATTTCTGAAATGCATGAAAGGAGTTTTCATTAAAACTGTAAATACAAGAAGCCTTTGGAATTTGCTGAGAATGGGACAAAAATTTCTAGTCAGAGGTGAAATGAGATATACCCTCAAGGAGGATTTATCTCCATATAACACATTAATATCAATTCCTTGACAGCAAAGGAGAAATTAAAATAGTTCAGCTATACGAGTTAGGCTGGTTTGAGTGAAAACTACTCATGTTATTTCTTCTTTCCCTCCAATAGTCACCTCCACCACATGGAATCAGGAAATGGCACAAAAGTCTCAAATTTTCTTTTTCTTCTGGGACTTTCAGGGGAATCAGAATTGCAGCCCCTCTTATTTGGGCTTTTCCTCTTCATGTACCTGAACACTGTGTTTGGAAACCTGCTCATTATCTTGGCTGTCAGCTCAGACTTCCATCTCCACACCCCCATGTACTTCTTCCTCTCCAACCTGTCCTTCGTAGACATCTGTTTCACCTCTACCACCATCCCAAAGATGCTGTGGAACATCCAGACACAGAGCCAGGTTATCACGTATGAAGGCTGCATCACCCAGATGTATTTTTACATTCTCTTTGCAGGATTAGATGACATTCTCCTGACTGTGATGGCTTATGACCGGTATGTGGCCATCTGCCACCCCCTGCACTACCCAGTCATCATGAGCCCCCAGCTCTGTGGGCTGCTTGTTCTGGTGTCCTGGATAATGAGTGTTCTGTATTCCTTGTTACACAGCTTAATGGTGCTGAGACTGTCTTTTTGTACAGACTTGGAAATCCCTCACTTTTTTTGTGAAATAAAAGAGCTGGTCCAACTTGCCTATTCTGACACCTTTCTCAATAACATGATGATGCAATTTGGAGCTGGACTTCTGGGTGGTGGTACCCTGACTGGTATCCTTTATTCTTACTCCAAAATAGTGTCCTCTATATATAGAATCTCTTCAGCTCAGGGGAAGTATAAAGCATTTTCCACCTGTGCATCTCACCTCTCAGTGGTCTCCTTATTTTTTTGTACAAGTTTAGGAGTGTACCTTAGCTCTGCTGGTACCTACAGCTCACACTCAAGTGCTGCAGCCTCAGTGATGTACACTGTGGTCACACCCATGCTGAACCCCTTCATCTACAGTCTAAGAAATAAAGACATAAAGAGGGCTCTGAAAAGATTTTTGGGGATGGAAACTATATCAAGGTAATTTGTCCTTGGGCTAAAGAAATGCACATGATAGCAGGCTTAAAGCCTCAGGGCCACATATTATGCTTCTTTGATCAGATTGTGAAAATAGCAGTTGCTCCTTCGGCTTATTGTCTGCTATTTCCATTTCTTTGATTTCAACTTATCTATACAATTTCAGTAGCTCGCTTCATTAACTTTTCTGTTCTGTCATCTATGCTTTATCCTTTGTCATTTTTATACTATCCCTGATTGATTCACATCCTTAAGTGAAATATATGGAAATGCCCATATATCTCATAAGACTGGGTGCATCTCCTAAGAATAATTTCTTTGTGAAATGTTATATACAGATCAAGTTTATTTCATTTTACTGAGTGAATAATCATGAGTTCTGTTACCTTTTGGAAAAGAAAAACTACCTTGATGACTGAATGCACCCAATGACATAATTTCATAAAAGTGCAAAGTATGAAACATCAGGTTATCACTTTCTGTTCATCATTCCTTTTGCACATCACTACCATAATTTCTCTTCCCCAAACTGTAGACTGTAACATCTAGTGTGTTTCACAACAAGGCATTCCATTTTATTCCCGCTAGGATCTTTTTGTTTATTTAGCTCAGTGTGCATATTGGTTACCAGTGTGTGCGCAGTTGCTCAGTCATGTCTGACATTTTGCGACCCCATGAACTGTAGCCCACCAGACTCCTCTGTGGGATTTTTCAGGCAACAATACTGGCGTGGGTTAGCATTTTCTACTCCAAAGGATCTTCTTGACCTAGGGATCCAACCCGCATTTCCCCCATCTCCTGCATTGCAGATAGATTCTTTACCTGCTGAGCCACCATTATCAGAGTCATTGGAAAACCTGATCATCAATGCGTGTCTCTGATGCTAGTCTATGTGAAACATCAATTTCAATAAACAGTTTGATGTAATAAAGTCTAGAGTCTAAGATGGCCCTAACTAAAATGAAGTACATATTTATATCAGATTTTGACTATGCAAATTATTTTTTCTGGTGTACATTTACTTACTGATGTATGTAAGGTCATTGTCCATATATAAAGGGGTTTATCATTGACATGAAGGATTGTTTGGTGAAATTATATTTTGTTTTGAATCATCTTTCTTCTTCTACTTGAAAACTTACATTTTTCCCTAGAAATACGATTCCTTTCATTGTTCTAAATGAAATATATTCCCCATTCTAAGTTTTATCATAACCACTAAAGGATGTTGAATGAGCAATATAAATATACGTATCTCTTTCCAAAGTGCAGCTCACTAGGGAGCTTAAATTCCTCCTGGACCTGTGATTCAGAGTCTCAGAGTTTTGAACGAACAGGCATATCCTTTTAACCTCGCAATCAGTTTTTGATACAGTTATATGAAATAGACTTGGATAACTGAGTAATTATAAATGCTATTCAAATATCAGAGCAAATACCTACAATGAGAAGCCATACATTATTATCATTTCACTCAGCTGTTCACTTGGATTATTTTATCAGTTTGTTGCTGCATAATAAGTTGTCCTAAAAGGAAATGGTTTAACATAATGTCTTTAGTCTCAGATAGGAGTACTCGATGGGGACTTGAGCTGAGTTCTGATGGTCTCTTCTTCATGGGTCTGCTGTCAGCTGTCTGGCTCTATTTTGTGTTTTAAAGTCTCGTCCATGATGGTGTGTGCAGTTGTAGTGTTCTTCTGTTTTGAGCAACTTCATGTCAATTCCCTCTTTTTATATATGTAGGTTAGTCTTTAGTTTACAAGAAAAAAACTGAGTTTACAAATGGCAATTTCTTTATATTATATTAATTTCATTATTCCTATATCCATATATGACACTTTGCTTTAGTCCTTGATTAAAGAGGTATCTCTCAATTTCAGGTGTGATTCAACTACATGGACTTTACTTATTACTCTGAGCCATGAAAACCCCAAAATTGGAAATTCTAGCTAAGTCACTGAAGAGTAATTACATACAATAAACTGCCAATTTTTAAGGTATACAATTTTATGAATTTCAAAAACTAGCAGTACACACTACATGGTCCATTTTTTGATATTCTAAAAGGCTCAGAGCAAGTTTTAATTTCTTTGAAATGTTATTGTTAACAATGTAATTGATCTGGATCTCAGTTTTATTTATTTATGAAGAAAATAGAAGATAACAAACCCTAACTTCATATGGATGTTGTGAAAATGAATGAAATATACAGAAATGCTTTGGGGAGTCCACAAACCATGTCAAAGTTTAGGAGTACATGTATGTATATATGTGCCCACATCTGTATACACCTTTCTCTTAAATAAATATACTCACACATATATGTACATGCCTGAAGTCTCATTTGTAATTCCATCCCAAGTTGAAAGAAACCTTGAGAACAAGTTAGAGGGATGGAAGTGAAAAGAATAGATGCTTGAAATAACAGAAAATAGGAAGAATTTAGAAATTTTGACAGAAAGTTCTTGAGCAGAATGTGTGCCTTTAATAATAATAATGATTTACTTTTCTCATGTTAAATCCTCAACGACCTCAAAGTTAGAACCACATTTATATTTAGTCAATGAAAAGTTCTCTATAGAAGCTAATGAGAATACCTTAAAAAGGACTCAATCTTCTCCTTCTGTTTAAGATATGATTTCAACACAAAATGCCTCTAACTAAGGGTAGCTCACTGACTGAACTGAAAGGTTTAAACTCAACTCCAAGAACAACATCTGATTGGACACATGTCTGTATTAAATTTCTGTTGCTCCTGCAAGAGACTCAAGTTCCATCCGTGGTTTGGGAAGACCCCCTGGAGGAGGCCGTGGCAACCCACTTCAGTATTCTTGCCTGGAGAACCCCATGGACAGAAGAGCTTGGAGGGCTATAGTCTATAGGGTTACAAGGAGTCAGACATGACTCAAGCGACTTAGCATGCATGCATGCTCTTGTAACAAATTACAATACTAGTGACTTAAAACAAATACCTGTCTTAAAGATCTATAACAAATTACCATGCTAGTGGCTTAAAACATATATGTATCTTAAAATTCTTCAGAAGCCTGAAGTCTCATTGAACTATAATTGTGATATCTGCAGGACTGTGATCCTCCTGGACACCCCAGAGGACAATGCATTCCCTTTCCTGCTTTACTTCTAGTGGCCACTAGCATTTCTTGGTTCATGGTCTTTCCTCCATCTTCAAACCCAGGTGCAGAGCATTTAAAAATTTCTATCTGACTCTAATTCTTCTTCCTTTCTCTTCTGCATTTAGAGGATCACTGTGATTACATTATTCCAAGCTGAATATCCATGCTAATCTGTTATCAAGATCAATGATTATCCACTTTATTACATCTGCTAATGTAATTTCAGGCTTCCCTGGTATCTCAGCCGGTAAAGAATCTGCCTGCAATGCAGGAGACCCCTGGTTCAATTCCTGGGATGGGAAGATCCCCTGGAGAATGGATAGGTTACCCACTCTAGTATTTCCCTTGCTAACTAAGATAAGACATTCAAAAGGTCTTGAGAATAGGGTGTGGTCATCTTTTGAGTATCTTATTCTGCCTACTAAAGGGTCTTTTCTCAGATATAAATCATTTGATGTCACTCAAAACTTCTTTTAAAAAATAATTTTAATTGGACGATAATTGCTGTACAATACTGTGATGGCTTTTGCCATACATCAACATGAATAGGCCATAGGTATACATGTGTCTCCCCCATCCTGAACCCTCCTCCCACTTCCCTCCCCACTCTATCCCTCTGGGTTGTCAGAGCCCTGGCTTTGGGTGACCTGCTTCATGAATTGAACTTGCACTGGTCATCTATTTTACCTATGGTAATGTATATATTTCAGTGCTATTCTCTCAAATCATCCCACCCTTGCCTTTGAGAGGGCAACAGGCAGGAAGGACAGGGGTCTCCAAAAGGAGGAAATAGGCTGCAAGTGTCAGACATTTTTTTCTCTCTCCCTTATGTGGCAGGATGAAACAAATTAGAAGTGTCAGTTTTTTTTCTCTTAAAATTCTCTGTTGCCATGATGACACCTGGTTCCACCTGAACTTAACTTTCCTCAAACCTTGAACTAATCAATGCATTTTTCTTAGGGAAATGTTTTTCTTAAGCTATGTTAATGAAGCTATGTATTCGCTTTGGAATTTGCCTTTCTTTAAGATGGTTCCATCTAAAGACTAACTTTTCTCCTTTTCTCAAACGTTGGGCTGATAATAGCTCAACAAACCAGTATTCATATCAATTGCTTTATGGCTGGGGGATGACACATCTGGTACCATCCTATCACAGAAATGCATATAGTGGAGAGGGGCCTGGTGAAACTCCAGCAGCCTTGAGGTGTCTCTCTCATCTGATTAATAGCTTTCTAACAGACATAAAACAGCTTGCTAGAACTAGCGCGGGTGGGGGGGCACTCTCCATCCCCCTTCTGATGTCTATGTCAGAAGCTTTCTCTGCCCCTTTCACTTTAATAAAACTCTGATATACAAAAGCTCTTGAGTGATCAAGCCTGGTCCCTGGTCCTGAAGTTAAATCTTAGGAGATCATGAATCCAACACCATTCACCATAAGGTATTAGTTTCTCCCACTAAAAAAATAAAACAGAATTTACCACTGCTTACAAAGTGAGTGAAATGTATCATTCAAAATTACATACATGGAAGATTCTTGATGAAGACCTAAAACTGTTTACAACTGAATCTAACAGAATCATTTTCTTGTCATACCCAGACAAGGACCTGCAGCATTAAGAACGTGTGGGACATTGTTAGAAATGCAGAGTCCCTGGTACCTTGAATTAGACCTGCTGAATCATAATTTGCATTTGAACTTAGTTCAAGAACCAATAGTTCTTGGTAATTTTTAAGAACAATCAGTTTAGAAAAGTGTTAGACTAGAATAAATTTTATACCTTTTTGCTGATGGTATTTGAGGTAGTATAATTGTAAGTATTGAATACTGCCCTATGCATTACATGTGTAGGATCCCTTTAGACCCTGAAAAATA